AATTTGCATCAATCAGCCCGACATCGCGGAGAAGGTGCAGCAGATCCCGTTGATGGGCTTGGTCTACACACATGCTACAAACACGCTCATATGGCTTGGTGATGACGGTGAAGAGGACTCAGCTCTTGCGTTCGATCTGATGGAGACTGTTTTTGTGCGGTTACAAGGGACGGATGCGCAAGTGACGCCAGCGGACTTTGAGAGGCTGGATTTTCCACCTAGCCTTGATCGAGCGTGGTGGGCTGTTCGTCAAGTCCTGCGCCGCCCCTGGTTCGGCAGACTGTGGACCATACAGGAAGCCGTGCTTTCGAGACATCTATTCGTCAAATGCGGCAAGGTTGAGGTGTGCTGGGATGACTTTGCTGCGTGGTGTCATGACCTGGCAGAAACGCATGTGCTCAGCTGGCTGACTGGTAACGCTGAGCTGGATGAGAAGTACACAACGAAAGCAGATGTCAAAGCATTGCCGCCGCATGGTGCTGATGTGGTGAACTCTGTTCAGGCAGAGCGCGTACATGGCCTGACAATCGTTACGAAAGAAGCATTACTAACCATTCTGGTTTCTACACGTTATGCGCAGGCGACAAACCCCAAAGACAAGATTTACGGTGTGCTGGGTATAGCAGATGCCGATATCGTACCCGACTACAATCCCGATGTTCCTGCGAGAGCGGTCTATCACGAGGCCTGTCTGACGGAAGTACCTGATCGCATTTACGAACTGTTAAGCTGTGTCGATCACGAACACCCGCTCCAGCCGTCTTGGGTCCCAGACTGGAGCACCCCACGCGTAACGGACGTATTTGGCTATTCGACAAGATCTTGGGCTGTATACTGCGCGGGTGGTAGGCCCGTCACCGGCGCGCAGCCACCCAAGGCTATCGTGAGCGAAGATAAGCAAGAGATCACACTGAGCGGTAAAGCATTCGACACCATTGCCATTCTAGGCAGTGTCAGTGAGGATCCCTTTCTTGATATCGACAATCCACAACGGGGCAATCGTGATTTAGCATCTTACGCCGAGCTTGTCATGGGCGCTGGTCGAACACACACATACCTTTTACAAGGTAGTTCAACATACGACGCCTTTCTACACACACTACTGGCGGGACGCGATGGCTCTGGCGTTGCGCCACCAGATGCAGACCACAGCGAGGTATTCGGGCTCATCCTAGATGCCACGACAGGCAAGTCCCTATACCTACCTGGTCAGACTATGAGCCAGCGGCGGCAGAAGGGTCACTTCAATCTCGACAGTCTCAAGACCAGGAAGCCGGCAAAGACCCTGGAAGACTTGCAAACGGCGTACCGGGCCGCGTTGAAGATGCGCCGCTTTGCTGTAACTGAGAAGGGCTACTTTGCATTAGTGCCGAGGGGTGCGCAAGTCGGTGATGAGCTCGCTGTCTTCGATAGGGCATGTGTACCTTTTGTGATCAGGAAGCAGCAAGTCGAAGGAGTTGCCGAGAAATTTGAGCTGCTTGGTGAAGCTTACGTCCATGGTATTATGAAGGGCGAAGTGTTGGTCAAGGAAGACATTGAGCTTCAAGACATCACGCTTGCTTGAGCGCATCCTAGGCGGTCCATCTTCCCGATAATCGACCATCGATCACGATCCGGTCGGCACTTTTCTACTAGCGCCGACATGTCAACCAGGTCACAAGCAAGCCTCTTTATATGGGGCGGCACTCTATCCTCGGGGGGCTTGGCGCCTTCAATTTACACACGGCTAAGCCATTGGCTAAAGACAACCTCGCTTAGGACTTCTAAGAACATTCGACACACGCTCTACATTGCTTAATATAATCGCGTGGCAACTCCAGCGACACGGCCTTTCTCATCCGGGTTTTGGCTGGTATAGCGTTGCGGTTTCAGGCCTTTGCCGCAGCGGCGCGCGATGCGGTTGGTGGACGCGAAGGAAATGCTCCGTTCACCTGGGGTGCAGGATGTAGGCTTGTTCGCATCTGGGACCGTGTATGTGATATCACCAAGCATGCAATATATGTAAACCTTGGGTCTGGGTTCAGATCTTGAACGTCAGGGCGAAGACATTGTTTATAAGTACCCCGGCTACAGCAACGTTGAAACATCAAGCACCTCCACTCGAAGCAACATCAACCATCATAATGAAGTTCTCCACCCCGATCGTCCTTGCTGCTGCAGCCAGCTCAGCATCCGCCCACACAATCTTCGTCAGCGTCAACGGTGGCGCAGTAGGAGATGGTGTCCGCGTCCCCTCCTACGACGGCGTACGCATCCCACACCTCCAATTAATCCCTCCCCCCATCTAACATCCCCTAGCCCATCAACGACGTCTCCACCAACGACATAGTCTGCAACGGCGGCCCCAACCCCACCGCCAAAACCTCCACAGTCATAACCCTCCAAGCCGGCTCCACCGCCACCCTAACCTGGCGCCACACCCTCACCTCCGGGCCCAGCGACGTAATCGACTCCTCCCACAAAGGCCCCGTAATGGCCTACATGAAGAAAGTCAGCGACGCCAAAACCGACTCCGGCGTCGGCGGCGGCTGGTTCAAGATCGCTGAAGACGCGTTCGACGGCTCGAAATGGGGTGTTGATCGTCTTATCGCCAATAAAGGTGTTCAGACTATTACGATTCCAAAGTGCATTGCTCCCGGACAGTATCTTTTGAGGGGAGAGCTGATTGCGCTGCATAGCGCGAGTAGCAGTATGGGCGCGCAGTTTTATATGGAGTGTGCGCAGATTAATGTTACGGGGGGTGAGGCGAGTAAGACGCCCGCGACGGTTTCTTTCCCCGGCGCGTATAAGCAGAATGATGCGGGCATTCTTTACAATCTTTACACTGGGAGCAAGACGTATACTAGTCCTGGACCGGCGGTGTTCAAGTGCTAAGCAATGCGCGGATAGGAGAGGATAGTCGCGTTGATGCGCAAACGGTCTAGAATAAGAACATGTTGATTTCAAAGTGAAGTGCCTTCTGTTATAAGCAGATTATCTAGTGTCGCTGCCGTTCCATTCCCCATACTCAGTACTCTTCTAGTCCAACCTTATCCTACCCAATCCTTAGTCGGCGAAAATGACGACATCTTCATAGCCGCCTACATACTCAACATCTCAGTCGAGAAGTCCGACAGCGATATCGAAGTCGCTGTTCTTGGGGGTCGCAATGGCCCTTGACTTGTACTTCCTACCCGTGCCTGCGGTAGGCACAGCGGGGAGCTAGTTGAAGGGAACAATGACGTTGAGGTATTGCGGGATATGTCGGAAGCCCTTCCAGTACTTCCTTGTCTCTCGGGAGCAAGAGGTTAGCTTTGTAGACCTGCTTCAAGGGATGATGTCGTTGATGTTGGTGATGCGATGGCACGTGGCTTGCGCGGTGTCTATTTGACTTGTTGACGTCAATGGCTGCGACGGGTGTTTTGTACTAGGTAGTGTGAGGGGTGAGAGGAGACAAATGTTTTTAAGTATGTGTAGAATGGCGCATATAGTAATAAGCTGACTACGGGTTTAACGCAGCGACTAGGGGCCTGTTTAGCTATTGTCGTACGTATAATAGGTATATAATGCTAAGCCCTGTTCTATATAATAAGGTAATTAGAGGCTTATCTATTTTACGTTATATAAGCTGTTAGCGTATAGCTTCTAAAAGTACCCTGCTCTATTCTATATCTTTTAGACTACTTCTTTCTTTTTCTTTTTTTCTGTATAGCTCTTTAAGAGCCTTTATAAGTTTATTATATACTTATATACTTACTAAAAAGTGTAAGATAATATTATTAAAAAATATAATATAAAAAGATATCTAATTAAAAGAAAATCTACTTAAACGCACTAGAAAAGCTATATTATATTTCTATTCTATATTATTATACATTTTAGTATTAAAATATATTCTCTTAAGTCTCTTAACTTGCTTATAGCTATTATTAGCCTTCTAACTTACTTTACTGCTTATTAGCTACAAAAACTATTCTATGTTTTACAGAATTGTACAACAATTACTAAACAGGCCCTAGAAGAGGTAGTTGCGAAGGAGTAAGGTAGAGATATTGCGTTTGAGCTAACAACATCTAAATCTTTAAGAAATCTTGTAGTCTGCAAGAGTCTAGGATTGCAATCTCTTCTATTTAATATAAGGCACCTTTGTGTATGTAGTAGCGGTGTAGTGCGGGAGTTATAAGTAGTTCGTCTCGGTCTGCGTCATCGCAGCTTAGTCTACAACTATACCTACGTGAATTCCTCCTTAAAATTTCTTGTCGCATGTTGCTGCATACACGATGCTAGAGCTTTAAATGTAGATACTTCCTAACACAATGTATGCTTCTTACGGTGGAATGTTTGTGCAAAGTAAGCACAAGATATTGCTACACCCGCTGCCGGCATGAGTGGTATGACGTCATCGTTCGCGTTCAGCCTTCCTCGTGTTGCGGTACGCCTCCGTCGTATTTGCCCTTCTCCTTCAGCTCAGCCATACTCTAATACATGCTCACTCGCTTCAAACTACTGCAAATGGTATCCCACGCAAACACGGCACGCTACACGCACTTCCAGCTCACCGGTGCGCAGCACGCCAGACATGACATCGAAGGCTTTGTGGCGCGGCAAGGCTGAGGTATTGGCTGTCATGCAGGTTTGGCGATTGTCTTGCGTCCTGACCCCTCATTGTTCTTATGCGCCTTCCTCGTACTTCGCGCGTCTTCAGTAGCCCATCATCTTTTGTTTCTGAGCAAGCTCGCCCGGACACGAAGCACTCTCTGAGTATGGCCGATCCTCCTGCCACACCTGGGACTTGGAAAAGGTGTAAGCGGGCGGTCATTAAGCCTTTCCTGCGTCGCAAAGGTCATGTACGCTCCGAAACGGCTACTAACACTCCTCTCGCTGCGCGCCCTAGTCAACCGCGGGCTACCTCAATTCCAGCGGATGCGTCGATATTGCTCCCGACGGCTACCGACGCGTCGGTAGTTCCTCCTTCGAATTCCGCTACCCCTCGCGGTGTTCCAAATGACGCACCTGCCCATATGAAAGGCGCTCACAACACTGGAGATGCTTCTCGTCATGTACACCTGCCTACTTCAGGCGAGGGCGATCTAATCGCAGGCAACCACACGCGACAACCATCAGCCTCCGCGCCTCTGAGTGAGGACTGGGGATCTCAGATACTTCAGGACGCCAGTCGCGCCGACACACTTCATACACCCGATCTGGCACAAGGCGCAGTAGAGTCTCCAGAACATGCGTTCAGCCTGGGAAGTCTACACACATCAGGAAATGCTACGAAGTGGCATGAAGCACTTCAGATGTTCAAAAGGAGCAACAAGATTGAGTACGAGTATCTCGATAGTAAGATCAGTCAAACGCAAACAACTCAAGGCGGTGACATAAAGTGGACGCTGCCCAAGCATCTCGAGCAGGATCCCAAATCCAACGAAATCATACGTCGAGCTAAACGATGGTTACCTACTCTGGCGAGTGTCAGGTCCGTTGTCATGCCAATCGCAGCTCTAGATCCACACAAGATTGCTCCCATTTGCTGTGCAATCATTCTGGCTATTCCTGAGGTACGTTGCAATGCTTCCCAACAAAATCGTAGCTAACTCCTTCAGCTTGCGGTCAATGGTCCGGATACAGAATACAGATCCAAAGCACTAGACGCATACTTCGAAGCGGCCAATACTATCAACGACTGGATATCCTTTGAAATGATATTTGCAGTAGAACGCGAGGACGTAGTGTCGAATTTGAAGAGTCAGCTCCCCGATGTCTACATCATGGCATTACGGCTCATGTGCCACATTCACTCCGCGCTGGATAAGCTCTCGGAGGGATCGAAAGCGGATCGAGTAAAGGCAAAAGGTGAGCGATTATCTCGATGATACAACTGCTAAAACGTGCTTCGCTCACAGTCACGATCCAGCCGCTGCCATGATGAAAAACGACCCTGGTGTGTGGGATGAGAAAGTCAAAGACCTCAGGAGGGCAGGAGAGGAAATAAGTAGAGAAAAAAAGCGTACGAATGATAAAATCGCCGCTGATGAGAAAGTCGCAGCCGCACTGAAATGGTTCAAAAAGAAGGACGACCCAGAGGATGCGCTAAGCAAGATCGAGAAAGAAATAACGTCGGACGGTCGATCTAAAAACTACGCGCAGTGGTTTCTCGAGTCGAGTGAATACAAGACCTGGTTTGAGGCTGTGCGTCGTCACGGTGACGATAATGTGCAATTTCGAGCGCCAAGTCCAGCGCGAATACTTTGGATAGCTGGCCCTTTTGGCATGGGAAAAACCACCCTTGCGTACGTCATCTGTACATGCATGGGTATTCTGCTGACCTCCATCTAGTCATCGAGTATTGCTCAGCCTGAAAGCACTCGAGAGTATACCAGTTCCAGGAGAGTCTCTGCGCGTGGTCCACTATTTTTGCTCCGCCCGAGGCAGCTCAAGACCTGATCACGAGACAGTCATACGCTCACTCATTCTGAAGCTTTCTTGGGGACTAGACTGTTCTATTGCGCCGAAAGCTTACCAATTCTACTGCAAATGGACACGGGGACCCGAAGATGAGCCCTCTATCGACGACTGGAAGAGTCTACTTGACGCGCTCATCGCTAAGTCCGATCTATCCACGAAGCTTGTTATCCTTGTGGATGGACTTGATGCATTCGAGAAAACGGAGGAGGGGCAGTTGTTCCTTGAAAGCATGAAGTCTGTTGCAAAAGATCACAGCCACGTATTCTTCGTCTTTTCATCTCACCAATATGTGCTGGACAGTAGCGAATATGATGAATCGTTACTCGTCGAATACAAGGTCAATCCGGAAGATACAAGAAGAGACTTGGAGGCTTTCGTTGACACCGAAATCGAAGCTCGGGCTCCCGCCCCCGGCGAGACCGTGGACGTTGAGATAGGTCCAGTGATTGAGGCGAAGGAAAGGGTCATCTCAATCTTTTGTAAGAACTGCCATTGTGCCCTCATCAAACCTCACATTACGTACTGACTGGAGTGTAGTCCAACAAGGTCAAGAGAAACTTCGTGATACAATGAGACAACTGCTGCTGGATCGTGCCAATGGCATGTAAGTTGATCGGGCATATTTTCTCAAGCGCTCTGCTGAAGGATCCAGGTTTGTGTGGGTCAAGATCTGGCTCCAGATTCTGCTGCCTGAACGTCCTCGACAAAAGATCGTGTTGACGGTAAAGCACGCCGAAGAGCTTCTTGACCAATTGAGAGGCTCAGGTAACCACAAGAAGACGGAGCAACTTCAGACTGCGTACCAACGTCTCTGGGACAGAAACGAGTACGAGTCCTATTTAGAAATTCGGCGAAACCTCTTTCGCTTCGTCCTCTGCTGGAGAGAGCTGTTGTCGGTCAAAGTTCTTACAAAGGCTTTGCAAATTAACGGCGAGGGCGAAGACCTAGACGACGAAACCCTTCCTGAAAAGCGAATACGTGATCTGGGTGCCGACTTCTTGACCTTTGATGACGACAACAAAATCAGGTTCGCTCACGACTCTGCGAGGGTTTTCATTCTTAAGCTGCTTGACGACGTAGATAAAGATTCGGCTTTGTTCCGAATACAAGATACCCATCGCCGGGCGTTGCGACTGTTCATCCAAGTCTTTGCTCCAACCAACCACTCCAGTCCCTTCGTCTCTGGCCTCGCGAAGTATTTCTCGACTAACCTGTCGTATCACTGCCAGCGATCCATCCAAAATGCTCTGATCTACAACAAAGAATGGGAAATTTTGTTTGAGCAGGTTCTGGATTCGTACTCATTGATGGTTCCATCGACACCACGATTGGCTTTTCCAACTTATCCAAAGGAGATGTCAAACCAATCTGTCAATTGGAACCTGACATCAGCTGGAAACATAGTTCGGCCCGTACACCCATCTTTTAGAGACATTCCATTTGTGATAAAAACGGCATCGACTGAACTTGGTTATCCATGGACGAAGAACATATCAGACGAGATGTTCGAGTCCCTGAGAGACGCTCGAGAAAACTGGGGCGAACAGGCCCGGTATCTAGAGCGCAGACTTGAGGGTATCTTGAGTGGCTACAACCTAGCTGCAGCGGTGGAGAGTGAACACAACTCTGCAGCTTCCTTCATACTCCATGGCAGTTGGTCGTTGCAAGGTCCGAAGGGCGTGCTTGACCTCATTGAAGATGCGTTCGACCAACACCTCTTCTTTGGTTTCCTTTGTTTGACCCCGAAGATTGAGGAACGTATGTTGTTTGAGCGTTTCATTAATCGTTGTGCGGATGACTTCGAGTTTACCATGCGGTCGGGAGCCCTGCGTAAGCAGTTCCTGAGTGGCTTGGCCGAGCATCGTAGGGGGCGCGTGAGGGGGAGGGTGGTAATGATGAAAAGGGGGAAGTATATATTTAGAGATAACCTCACGATGCATAGGAGCAGACCGCAGTCTGAGTCAAAGGCGCATTCTATTCTTTCTAGGAGCAGACATAGATAAGGCTGTAGTTCGATTTTGCGCACAAAAGCAAGTCTTCCTGGTCCCGAGAGCCCCACGTACAATTGACGTTTAAAAGGCTACCCTGGAACAAAGCATGATCAAGGCGCATGTCTCTCAGCATGCTCAACCTGCTACTTTCATGTAGTATGAGGGAAAATATCGAATACTTCCTCGTAGATGTCTTCGTATCAATTAATATGTAAGAAAACTTCCTTTCAATGTAGTCGCCACTGTTCCCCATCCCTTTCCTCACCTATCCTTCTCCCAGTCATCGCATCTCGTTACGAGCACACAAAAAATGCGTATGCGTTATCGTCGTGCCAGTAACGTGATGGGACGCGACTTCCAACTATCTGGTCAGAGCCGACATCCCCGCTCTTGGCAAATGTGGGGCTTCGCAGCTTAGCTTCGCCCATCTCTCATCGATAACGCAAGCACGATAACAACTCCATCACCACTCACAATGTGGACTTCACACCTTCCTCATAGAAGCATCGCCAAGTATGTAGCATGCACGATGTCGTAATGCTGCATCTCAAAAGACGGCTCGTAACCGGCGATATGTCAGATCGAAATGCCCGCGGATGTAAGCGGAGGAGTTGGGCGACGGCAAGAGTGGGATGGGCTGGAGTATAAAGGTTCGGGTAGAACAAGATGTGAATCATTGGGTCTTTTGATTGTTGGTTCTTATCGTCAAGCATCATGCGGCTCTCCAATTTCGCACTCGCCGCTGCTCTCAGCGCTACCGGCAATACCGCACCAACAGCGTCCCAATCCCAACCCCGTCAAGCAACCACCGCGAGCGAGCGACTCGGTCTAACATGGCTAGGCGGCAACAGCAGCCTCCCCAAAGTCCTGTACTTATCACTCAAAGAACTCACATCCACCCCTCCCCCTAACACACCCCCAGCGTCCTCTTCACCGGCGGCACCATAGCCGGCGGCTCCATCTACGGCGCGCTTGACGACACGCAATACGGCCAACTCAGCCAAACCGGCGAAGATATAATAGCACGCAACCCGTATCTCCTCAACAACACGCAACTCGCCGTCTCAAACTGGACATCCGAAGATGGCTCAACCGGCACAAACGACGCTTTAGTCATGAACATGACGCGCTTCGCACACGACGCCCTCTGTTCAGAAGACAGTGATATCGTCGGCGCGGTATACACGCACGGCACGAATTCGCTCGAGGAAACGGCGTTCCTGATGGACTCGCTTGTGAACTGCGGGAAACCGGTTGTGGGGACGGGGAGTATGCGGCCTTTTACGCATTTATCGTGGGATGGGGAGGCGAACTTTTTTGATGCGGTTATGTTGGCTGCCAGCCCTGAATCACGCAATCGAGGACTCATGGTAGCGTTCAACGCACGCATCATACCGGGGTATTGGGTAACGAAATTGCATAGCACGAACCCGGATGCTTTTGGGCCTACGTCAGGGGGTGATCTGGGTATCTTTATTAACAGTTTGCCGGTTTTTTTTAATACGCCGAGTCAGCCGTTGTACAAGTACTACTTCGATATCGGCACTGTTTCAGCCTACCACACATACCCAAGCCTACCCAAAGTCGACATCCTCTACGCAGCCCGCGAGTTCGACGGCAAGCTCGTACTCGATGCGCACGCCAACGGCGCGGACGGCGTCGTCATAGCCGGCACAGGCAACGGCGGCGTACCGAATGGCGGAGACGAGATTGTCGAAGCGATGGAGAAAGGGCTTCAGGTTGTTGTTGGAACGCGCAGTCCGCATGGGCCGTCGAGTCCGGCAAGGACACCGAGCTTTGCGAAGGCGGGGTTTGTGCATCCGATTCAAGCGAGGATTATGTTGCAGCTGGCGATTGCGAGTGGGATGGATATGAATCGGACGATTGGGGTGTTTGAAGGGGGGTTTAGGAGGGCGATTGGACAGAGTTGGGGTCCGGGGGGTTGATGTAATGGGATATGTGGGGAAATATATAAGGTGATGAAGATGGTCAGAGAAATGGTGAACGAGATCTGATCCTCCATCCCAAGCCTTCCAGATCCTTGGTCTAGATGCACAACTCTACCCCCCTCCCAACGTCCCCAAAACCCCCCCTTCCCACCCCAACCTCACTTATCCTCCTCCCACCACCTACTCCCATCCCACCCCTTCCCATAACTCTTCCCCTTCCCATCCTTCTCCGAGTCATGCTTATGGAAGAAAGCAAACTCCTTCCCAATATCACTCAACCCATCACCCGCATCGTTAACCAACATGCCCTTACCCGGTCTCGCCATAAAATACGCATAACGGTGGATATCCTGTGAGTTATCCATCCAAGGCATGACTTCATCCAGAAAGTTCCTGATCTCGTCGTCGGTGCCTTCGGCGCGGAACTCGGTGACCCAGATGGGGAGGCCGCGCGCGACTTTGCGCGCGTTGGCGATGTGGTCTTTGAAGTTTTGCGCGGAGTTGGGGAGGGAGTTGTACCTGTGGGGGGGTTGTGAGTGGGTGTGTTGGTGGAGGGGGTGGGAGTGGGAGTGGGGGAGGGAAGGGAAGGAGACGAGTGACGTACCAGTGGATGTTGATAAAGTCAATGGTACATCCATCACAGGCTTCCAGGAACTTGGCTAGCCAGCCCAGACCAGTGGTATCAGAGGCCGCGGCATTGGTAACAGCCGGTGAACCGAGATACATCGCGCTGTTGAAGTTGGAGAGCGGTTCCATGTGTTTCTTCCAACCGGCAACGGCGGTGGGGACGTCGATGCAAGAACCGCCTGCGTCAGGACTTTTACTATAATCAGCACGACCTCGAACAACCGCCCCCTTGTCTACGCTTATCAGAGACAGCCAACTTACATGCAGTTATCCGGCTCATTAAACCCCATCAACCACGTCGCAAACCCATTATCCTCGAAATTCTTCCTCGCCATCGCCTCCGCATTGTCTTTCCACCTTCCCGTATGATCGTCCCTGAGTGAATGCAGCATGGGAATGAAGCGGAACCAGGCAGGTGATAGGGCGGATGAGGAGTCCCAGTTGAAGCGCCAGGTGACGTGGGTTCCATCGCCTTGGAAGAGCTTGTTGTAGGCGACGTCGTTGTAGGCTACGCCGCGGCGTTCGTGGGCGGGGGTTTGGGTGAGGGGGTCGTGTTTGGGCTTGCTGCCTTGGGCGGAGGCGGGGGTGTCGTCGGGGAAGGGGATGGCGAGGGGGGTCGCGGTGGTGAGGACGGAAAGTAGGAAGACGAGGATTAGGGCGAGGAGTTTCATGATATGATAGGCGAGGAGATCGAGGTAGGGACTGGGTGGAGAGAGAGAGTGGTGGGCTTGGGGCAATCGATGGGTCTTGAATGGTCGTGCGGAATTGACGTGAAGGTAGTGAGTGAGTGGATCTTGTGAAGGGGTTTTGTGAGAGAATGTGGAGATGTAGTTATATGAGTATATGAGCAGGTTATAGGTCCGTGGATCACGCTCGCTGGCCTAGCGCTGATAACGCTTTCGCAGAGGTAAAGTCGGGAGCCTTGACAAACGCTTGGAGTAGGACTACGGTCACGACCCGGGTGGGTACTCGAAATGATTGCCCTAGAGAAGGCAGGCTTCACTGGCGGGCAGTGCGAGGGTGGTGGATGCAATCAGAAGACTACCAATGCGATCGTTCGCGGTGATTAGGCCAAGACATGTAGGTTAGAATGTACTTCGTTCGTTTGTTAGAAGTCGCAAGATGACCTTGTTGAGTGGATGATAATGGACCACCACTTCTCCTTCACCTCACTAGCGCTTTAGCGGTCTAGCTCACTGTCCGCTATTGGTGGCGCATGCGGAGTGAGAGGTGAGACCACGGTGTTTGATCAAAAACAGGGTGCGTGCCAAGGATCATCGAGACGTCCAAATATTGGTATACACATGAAGTACATGATACATAGCTTATTACTGAGCCTACATCTTACCACCAGTAAGCTCCTCGGCCACCTTCTTGACGCGCTCTTTGGCAAGGCCAACACCCTCGCCGCCCTTGAGCTTGTTGAGCATATCGCCGACACCCTCTGGTAGCGGTCCATCCCATGGGCTGAGACCGTTCCTGCCGTCTTCTCTTGGGCCCATGACACCCCTGGCGTCCCAAGCAACAGGCTGCTCATCAGAGCCGAAGACCTTCTCTATCGCCTCGTCTAATTGTTGCTCGTCCACGATGAACTTGCGCGCGTTGGTGTATAGATCGTGTAGGCGGGAGGCGCGGATTTCTTGTATCCGGGCTACTCGGCGCTGGTATGCTCGGCTCCGGGCCTTTGTGATGTCGGGCCGTGGGGGTAGGCTGTCGGTGAGGAAGTCGCGAATGCCCTTGGCGACTGAGGTTTCTGTCAAGATGTCGACTTCGCGCCGTGGTGCCGTGGCCAATTCCCGCCTCTTCGCACCGATGGCCTGGATCTTGGCCATGTACTCGGCCTCTGATGTGACCTTTCGCTCGTGCAGCGCCTTGACACCCTCTTTCAAATTCTCTCTCCGCTTCTCCGCCAGCCTCTGCTTGTATAACCGGTAGTCGACATCCCGGCTGTATGGTCCGGGGGCCTTGACTTCTTTGGGCTCCTTGGTACTCCGGTCGAGGAAGATGTCTGACTCTTTCGGGTGCTTATTCCTTGTCTTGAAGACGTCTCTTGGGATGGGGAGGTGGCCCTTTACCGCGGGCTTGGCCGGGTACGTGGGCTGCAGCGGCTTCGGCACGTCGATGTAGTTTGGCGACTGCGGACCGAGGGCGAGGGCGGATGGTGTGGAGGAGAAGGCACGCACACACAGGCTGCTACTCCAGCCATTGGCAGCTGCAGAGGGTCGGACGGGTATCCTGGGCGGCATGGCGGTGTTGCTGCCTCGTGCACTTGGATGCGGCGATGCGGAGGTGCTGCGGTCGTGTCGTCGCGCCTGCTTCGAAATTGTCGGCGCCAAGCCCCTTGGCCCCACTCTGGCTAGCTCCCGCCTCTCAAAAAAAGTTGCCCATGCCTCGCGAACTCTACTCTTCACTCTTCCCAACCCGCCAACACCACCGGAAGCAGTCGCCATGGGTGTCCAGAAGAAAGAGTACAACCGCAAGGAGCGCGAGGGCAAGACGGGCGATGGCATGGGCAATGTCAAGACCAAGGGCGCCAACTTCTACCGGTATGTCGCGCAATCTTTTTGCGCCAGGGTCTTTATGTACAGTTATACTGACAGTTTGGTAGTGATGCGAAGAAGGTCAAGCTCCTCAAGCGCCTCACAGGTGGCACAGCGGAGCGCAATGCCAAGGGAGACATTACCAAGGCCGCCGTCTACCAGAACCGCGCAGCGCCTGTCGCCCGTGTAGAGCCCAACAGGAAGTGGTTCAACAACACGCGAGTGATATCGCAAGATGCCCTCGACAGCTTCCGCTCGGCCGTGGAGGCGCAGTCTTCGGACCCTACCACGTTCCTGATGAAGCGCAACAAGCTCCCCATGAGCTTGATCGAGACACCAGGACAGATCCCAGGCCTCAAGCAGCACGCGGCCAAGATCGCCGTCGGCAGCCAGCCTTTCTCAGAGACTTTCGGCCCCAAGGCTCAACGGAAGCGCCCGAAGCTCGACTTCAGCTCCATTGAGGATCTGGCTGGTCGCACAGGAAGCATGCATGAGACCTACGTGGAGCGCCTCGAGAACGCCAAGCTGCTGTCGGGCACGTCTGGCGAGGCAGAGCAGAACGAGTCCTTCGCCGACAACCCCAACGGCGAGCTTACGTCTGCGCGCGAGTTCATTTTCATGAAGGGCACGTCGAAGCGTATCTGGAACGAGCTGTACAAGGTAAGCTTACAACCATCACCTCTCACAATCCATGTCTGACATACCCCAGGTCATTGATTCCTCCGATGTCATTCTCCATGTTCTAGACGCCCGCGACCCTGATGGCACTCGTTGCCGCTCCGTCGAAAAATACATCCGCACCGAGGCACCCCACAAGCATCTGGTCTTCGTCCTCAACAAGGTCGATCTTGTTCCCTCCAAGGTTGCTGTAAGTTCACGCCCCCTTTCCACCCCCTACACCATCCACACCCTCCTTAAGTCAAGGACCTTTTCCTATTCCATGAATACGGTTCTGTTACAAGTTGGGAAGAGCAAAAGTGGCTCGCTGGCCTAAGATCGTCTTGATCGCGGGTCGATTGGTAACCGTCTTGGTTGCCCATCAATAGAGTCACGCGTGATTTGTTTGAGTTGAGGACCGTCTCTGCACTAGCAGCTTCATGGCGGTACTCTTAGTAATATTTCGCACATCCCGTCGTCGACACATTATCATGTCAAGTTGATGACCACGCACTGACACTTGACAGGCTGCATGGGTTCGTCATCTCAGCAAAGAGTTCCCGACTCTTGCTTTCCACGCCTCCATCAACAACAGTTTCGGTAAGGGTTCTTTGATCGCCCTTCTCCGCCAGTTCAGCTCCCTCCACAGCGACCGTAAACAGGTGTCCGTGGGTATGGTTGGCTACCCGAACACCGGTAAATCGTCCATCATCAACACTCTGCGGAAGAAGAAGGTGTGCGTCGTTGCGCCCATTGCCGGTGAAACCAAGGTGTGGCAGTACATTACCTTGATGAAGCGCATCTACATGATCGACTGTCCTGGTATTGTGCCACCAAACCAAAACGACACCGATACGGATCTGCTGCTCCGCGGTAGTGTCCGTGTCGAGAACGTCGAATACCCAGCACAATACATCGAAGAGGTTCTGAAGCGTGTACAACCGCGACATCTCCAGCGAACGTACGATATCAAGGACTCAGACTACAAAGGCGATGCTGTCGCTTTTCTGGAAAACTTGTGCCGCAAGAGCGGTCGTCTCCTCAAGGGCGGTGAAGCTGATATTGATGGCGCCGCGAAGATGGTTTTGAACGACTGGATAAGAGGAAAGCTTCCCTGGTTCACTCCACCACCATACAAGGAGGGCGAGGAATCAACCAGCGGACCCATCAACGCGAAGCGCGAAGGCAAGCTCGGTGAGATGAGCAAGAAGCGGAAGCGAGGCGGTGAGAGTGAGGCCGGTGAGAAGGCTGGTGCAAAACAAGATGAGTCCGACTACGATAGCGACTTTAGTGGTTTCAGTGACGAAGACGGCCTAGAACTGGATGGCGAAGATGATGATGAGGAAGAGGTATCGGACGACGACGAAGAAGGTGGCACAACACTCGAAGCCGCCGACGTTGATGAAGCTGCCGACGATGATGACAAAAGCGAAGACGATGAGGTGGTGGAGAAAGAGCTCGCTGCCATAACATCGGCGCTTTCCAAAGCGAAGAAGCGGCAAAAGACCACGTAAGGTCAAAAAGATAGTTAGTTTATGATTCAAATGATACCCCGATATTACGATGTCCCAATCACTGACTCACCCTTCATCAGTTGATGCTTCGCTCGTACAATCTTGCGCTTCAAATCATGCTCCCCTTTGTTAATTTGATCGAATTCAGATGACGAGCCAGCGTCAAACCCCGAATCTGCCGCTGCGGAATGCTGGGCAGCATCCGTTTGTACAGGTGGATGTTGCGCCTTGACGTCTTGTTGGTGCGACATGATTACAAACGATTCTATCGCGGTCACACTGGGGTCAGGATAGGCTAGCTGGTGGAGTGGCTGACGCAAGGATAGAAGGATCACCAGCGTGGGCACAACACGGAAAACGTCCAGGATCTGGGGTCTTGGACTGAGGTCATCATGCAGCCCACAGCCTCGCTACTACGCCTTGCAGGTGCCACCTGCCGTGCTCAGGTGCTGTGCTGACAACCGTTCGGTATAGGTTCGTCCGAACAATGAGGGGCACACGTGTGGTGCGACTGGGTTAGCATCCCGACAACTTGTTGCGACAATAAGAACGCAAGGCTGGTGCTCCTTTCCTCCTAATCATTGCGACCCTCGATTTCCCCAGACTTGATCATGGCCGCCGATCCAACCCCAAGCAAAGCAGCTCTCTCCCTGCTCGACAACATCGCTTCCCTCAGCACCGGCTTCAAAAATGGTGCAAGCGGCGCAAGAGAAGGCTTACTAGACGCATGCCGCAGCCTCATCTCAGAAGCCAGCCACCCATCTGAAAACATGCTAGACATACTCTGGGCCCAACCCACCCACCTAACCACGCTCTGGCTTGCCGTCGAAGTAAACCTCTTCCAAGGCATGTCCTCAGTCCCAGAAACCGGAGCCAGCAGCCTCTCCATCGCAAAGTCCTGCTCCGAAAACTGCGACAAAAACGTCGACCCCGTCATCGTCGCACGCATGCTGCGACACCTCGCCGCCATGGGCACAGTCCGCGAGACCGGCCCTGATACCTTTGCTAATACACCTACCTCCCGTGCTTTCGCCGAGCAAGCATACCAAGACTCCATTTTGTTCATCGCGGAAGACTTTCAGCCTGTGCATCACTCCATGAAATCTTATTTCGAAGCCAGGGACTGGAAGTGTCCGGACTCTGGTCTTGATGCGCCGTTCCAGCACACTTACAACTGTAAAGGGAGTCATTACTTTGAGTACATGCAGCATCGCAATCCTGAAATGGGGAGGAGGTTTGCGAGTATGATGGGGAGTTGGAGTAAAGGAAGGCCGAGGTGGTTTGCGAGTGATTACTATCCGGTGCAGGAGAGGTTGATTGATGGGGCGGAGGTGGGGAAGACGTTTCTTGTTGATGTTGGGGGTGGGAGTGGTCATGATGTTGAGGGGTTGAGGGAGGCGTTTGAGGGACGGTTACCGGGGGGGTTGGTGTTGCAGGATAGGCCTGAGATTGTGGGATTGGCGAAAATAGGGTTTGGTGCAAAGGCTATGTCACATGACTTTATGACTGAGCAGCCTGTCAGGGGTGCAAGGGCGTATTATCTCCATTCCATCATCCAAGACTGGAACGACGACGTCAACTCCCAGATTCTGAAAGCGATTGTGCCGGCGATGACGAAGGGGTATTCAAAGGTTCTCGTTAACGATTTCGTTGTGCCGGATCAGGGTGCGCATTGGGTGCAGAGTAAGTCCATCGTCTTCTCTGATGTGAAAATGTGATGGGTTGCTAATGCGTGGTAGCGTGTCTGGACTGGGAGCTTATGGCTAGTCTGGGGGCAAGACACCGGACGGAAGAGGAGCATCGCAGGATGTATGAAGGTGCGGGGTTGAAGGTGATGGGTGTTTGGCGGCATCCGCATAGTTTGGATTCGCTGATTGAGCTCGAGCTGGCTTGAGTGGGTATTGATACCGAAGTGTTGGTGCACTTGGTAGATCACCGCATCGCGCCCGTGTGGAAGCTACGCGCATAGCTTTTCACCATCGCCTCTGGGCTTCGCGCGAGGACTTATGGCGTTCTCGCGAGTGACTTTGGGCGTGTGAATTATGGGGATTGGAAAAGTTTGAATCGGTGGTCTTTCAGAGTCACTCACAGCCTAACAGACTTTGTCTCTAAAGGCTATTAGTAGCACGTTAAACAGAAGCTTTCTTAATGCAATTGTCTATATACATATATACTATATATAAGCGTTTAGAATGTGTAAGAAGATATTAGGAATAAATAGCGAGTTAAATGTTCTAATTATATATTAACTAGCCTAACTACTAATAACGTTGAAGCAAAAACAGCATTTTACGAGAAACGAACCTTAACCTTCGACGTTAATAATGCATTCTTTGCCTTCTTCCAAACCCGAACAGCAACAACATCGACTCAAATCGAGATCGACATCTGTGTAATCCAGGCAGAATTCTGGGTCTCACGTACGATTACTCGCCCGAAGGTCCCGAAACACGCTTTCTACAGTCAAACAAGACAAGACTAACGGTCACATTCTGTCCTTCCGCCTTTCAAACGACCAAAGCATTTTCCTCTCATTCGATCCACCAGACAAATGGACCTGTGACGCCATTGGCCGAAATTCAAGATCGGCAGCCTACAGTCTGAACGTTTCTCCACGAGGCAGTGCATGCTGTCATAGGTTCCGACACTACACCGGATAAAGTTGAAGTGGGAGGCGCATCGAAAATAGCGTGTATGTATCATGCAATATCCCAGCGATCAAGAAATTATCTAACTATCTTGCTAGTCGGAGCGCTCAATGTGCTTCGATACGCTAACCCGCCGCCTAATTTGCAAATAAAGCCCGCTAGAGATATAACGACTGCACCAGAGCCCTATACATTTGCTGCATTCGCTTATTGGCTTAGCGTTAACCCTTTCAAGGAGAGCTATTACTAGGACTAGACCGCTGGATCAGCTCGTCACCGGAGCAACACACCGTGAGAAGGTGGGACTATTTTAGCACTAGAAGCGATGCATCTGCCGTATTGACTCTCTTGAACAATTCGTTTACTTCTCGCAATGCAACTTCACGTTGATGCGTCTTTTCATGTCCTTGACCTATTCAGTCACTTCCATTTCTTCATCCTGATGCAGCCGAGTGGCACAAGGATAGCTTTATGTGAATGTAATATGTCGTTCCAAACCATCACTTCAGCTCTTTTCCAGCATGTGTGCGTCAGATTGGAAATGAAAAATTCAAGTGATTCGCCGCAATAGGCGAAACATCATCAATGGCAACCCGTTTAGTTGGATAAAAGGCATGGGTAGAACGTACTTTCATGGAAGTCCTGGTATTACAAGTGTCTATTTCTCACAAAAAGTCTGACTAACGCTCAAACGCTCGATGAGATGACCCCAGGACTCTTATTTCGGAATAAGAGGTGACATAGGTGACGATTTTCGAGCTGAAGACCTAGGCCGGCTTCCATCCAACGATGAGGTCCAAATGTGCGTACTACAGATGCGAGTCACATATAGCTACCACTTGATTGGCTGGCGATTCCGGTAGCGAACAAACTGCTCACGATCGAGGGTACCAACGTACGCGTGTACCTTGGTACCACCGGTTGCGAAAACATTTCGCGCACGCATAAGTATCCATGCAGCTGACAACATTTTCCATTGCAACAGCTTTCTCAGACACCAGCCTAATTGCCAACGTTCAACAATGTCCGACACACGCGATCTCGACATCACCAGTAATGTATGCGAATGGATCACAATCACCGCGCCAGAGAGCATACATTACGCAAGCTCACAGTCCAATCAACTATGGCGTACCGTGCTTCTGGCTCTCATTGATCTGAAGAGGTGTGACGGGGTACAAGAGTGTGACTGGAGTCGCGTTCTAGAACAGCGGTCTGAACTATACCTCTGGATATCCTGGACCCACAAGTCTGCCTACGATGCGCATGTCGATATGGACAGACATCGCCATCTCCATCAAAAGCTGGAGTTGCTGTCATCCTCAGTAGTAAAAACAAAGATCATACAGTATGACATGCCCGGTTGCTACTCTGGAGGCGCCCGGTTAGCTCGATCCTGGCCAAGTGTCACTTTGATGCAGTTTCCGGGCAAGCTCACTGAGAAGCAACGCGATCAGATCGAGTCCAGTCCGAGCATGGCGATGTGCACTGAGAGGCACAACCCGTTTATTGATCAACGGAAACTTGGCGGCTTTGTGCTCCTCGAGAGTGATAGTCACGGCGAACTTGTTACGCTGGGACAGGACACATATGTCATACTCGACCGTTGGGAGAGTCCCGCCCGTGAAGAAGAAGTGAAAGGCATCGGTAAAACCAGAAAGCACAGGGCGCCGGCCCGTGATCGGTGTGATCGTGCTCAATCACCGCCTCCTCGTTTCGTCGACCAAATGAGGGCACTGGGTTGTAGCACGATCGAGACCAGGCACATGCGCTTCACCCACATGCATGCCCCTACCGACCCGCACGAAGTAATAGAGTTAGTCGCAGAGGATATGGAGGCGAAAAGCTTCGAGTTTGACTGGGAAAAAGGCAGGAAAATGTGGAAGAAGAGAAAGAGAGCGAGAATGTCGCGCATGAGGTATGGGTGCAGGTGTGGTACTCTCACGACGGAAAGTGAAGCAGCTATAAAGAGGCAGATGCTGTTAGCTCAGGACAGGGATGTCGACGCTGAAAGAGGAGACAGGAGGAATGGACTGCGAGCGAATGCGCAGTTGAAGCTGAGAAGGAGGGACTACAAAGGCATGTGTTGAGGTATCTGCCGCTGTAGCGATATCGCTCACCAATGAGAGGCATGTATAGCCTCGTTGGTACAACCATCGCACTAGAGTTACTTTCTTCGTCCGCAGTATCAATCGATTTATGACGATCACGACATCAAGCTAAGCTCAACAGAGCTTAGATCGTGTTTCACAACGGCGTCAACTTTGGAATCCCCGAGGTCCGACCGGAACAACACGTACTGCCGTTCCCTCACCTCATCTCCCACTCAACACCGCGCCTTCGTCACATCGTCTCCTCGTCAATTTGCGCAACAAGAGCTGTGCTACCTTTAGTCCGTCATTCATGCGAGCATTGGCATCGCCTCCTGTTTGCTGCCTCGCCATTGAAGCTACTCACACGTGAGCAGCTACCTGTAGCTGGCCATCGCACGTTCTCCTCTTTGTCAGATCAGCAGGCATTGCTGCAGAAATTAATACAACGTCTGTCTATACGTCATCTACCTGGGTTTAGATTCCAGTACAGACATAGTGGAGCATTCGAGTGGCATCGCGCTCAATTGAGGCAGTTTCTAGTGCACTAGACCCAATTCGGCAGCATACATCCAGAGCACCCTGTTGGTGACGACCTGGCAGTCTGACGAACGTACCCGGCTTCTATACGTATCGATTGCGTGAGGGGCAGGCACGATGCGGGGCATATCGACGTTCTCAACCATTCTCTTTCCTCTTCTCTCTACATCCACAGTCTTTGCTTTAGAACAACAGCCCTTCGAATTCGGCGCCATGTCTGCACCCCAATACACGCTTCCTCCGCTACCATATGCCTACGATGTTAGTATAGCCTGAGATGACGTTGTTACCCCGCGCACGGTATGCTCACAGTTCTAGGCATTGGAACCGCACATCTCCGCCCAGATCATGGAGCTGCATCACAGCAAGCACCATCAAACCTACATCACAAACTTGAACGGTCTTCTCAAGACCCAGGCCGAAGCTGTCTCTACCTCGGACATCACCTCGCAGGTCTCCATACAACAGGGAATCAAGTTCAACGCAGGCGGACACATCAATCACTCCCTCTTCTGGCAGAACCTCGCACCTGCAAGCTCGGATGAGGCCAAGAGCTCCGCTGCTCCTGAGCTGCTCAAGCAGATCAAGGCGACCTGGGGTGACGAGGACAAGTTCAAGGAAGCCTTCAACACCGCTCTGCTCGGCATTCAGGGAAGTGGCTGGGGCTGGCTGGTCAAGACCGATATGGGCAAAGAGCAGCGGCTGTCTATTGTGACGACCAAGGATCAAGACCCTGTCGTTGGCAAGGGCGAAGTTCCGATCTTCGGTGTTGATATGGTGAGTTGCTGGCTCTTCGACCCTTGAGGCCACAGGCGACTAATTTGACATACAGTGGGAGCATGCGTACTACCTTCAGTACCAGAACGGCAAAGCTGCATATGTCAAAAACATCTGGAATGTCATCAACTGGAAGACAGCGGAGGAGCGTTACCGAGGATCGCGCGCCGATGCTTTCAGCGTGCTCAAGGCGTCCATGTAGGCGGGCGGAGACCTCATGTAGGGACAGCACGAAACGATGTGAATGATATGATGGTTTTGCGATCGCAACTTGACATACATACGTACCTTCACTGAAGAGCACCATGGTGGATCTTAGCGCCCGAGCTTGACCAATCGGGTACTCTTCCGAAACTTGCTCAAAGACACGCATTCACTCTCAAATCTCAAACTTTGCAATACATGCCGCTGAAACAGTGCGTAGACTACAAAGCCTTTGCATCTTTGCTACTATCGACAATCATTCGCTCGCCATTCACTACCCCTCGGCGTCGATCGATCTCAGGCTTGACTTCCTACACTCGTATACTTCCACCCTGTCCACTCACCCAACCACGCTCTTCCATCGTCATTCTTCTACTGTTGAAAGGCCGAGTTTATTTCTCTGTATCCGTCGGGTCTCCTTCATCAGAGTCTAGCAATGTGCAACGGCAGCTCAACGCG